GCTAGACACAATATTCACATCCTTCATCACTTCATCTTCGTGGGATCTTAGAATTCCCACAAGCTTCGCCAAAGTGTAACTCTTGAACTGTTCATGAGCTTTTACTGTTGATACAACAGATTTCCATTCCAATCTCAAACCATTCATAAACGTGACTTTTTTTTGCTCTATTATTTCACGCTTGATTTTGTGTTTTAACATCCTACTCAAAATATGATTAAAACGATTGAATCTTTGATCAAGTTTTTCTTCAGGCTTTTGAACAAAAGCACCAAACTCCGATAGAAGCAACATTTGCACTGATTGTTCCAGATCTGCATCGCTCGAATAAAGCTCTTTTAACCTATCCCAGATTTCCTTTGTTGTGTCACAAGCACTCACCAGACGAAAAGTGTCTGGAGGAAGAGCAAACCTTATAATCCTCATCGCCTTGATGCTACTTAACAGCTTATCTTTTTCATCTTGAGAAACTTCTTTAGTGTTGAGAAGGAGAGTATTGTATCCGGCTTGAGTCTTGATGATTTGCCTAGTAGCAGTATGAGCGAAAATTTTCTGTGTCATGGCTTCCCATATTAGGGTTCCATGTTCTTCAAGACCAAGAACATAGTCTTCAAAGTGCAGTGCCCAGACTTCATAATCCTGCGGAAAAAGGATTCGGATTCTGGTAGTAGATCCGATGATGCTGGATAGATTGAAGGAAAGAGTATGAGGATCTTCGTGTTGCATGATGTTGATTCAAAAAAAACCTGTATAGAATCAGATGTGTAAAACAATAATCGAGTTTAGGGCAAAACAAGGACCCAGATCTAACGTCTACAATCGATGAAAGCGATGAAGACGACAAGAACAGATCCACCAGAAACTCAAAACCCTAATAATACTCGACAGGAGATTTGCGTATGAGTTACACAATCTCCTACTCTGATACCAATTGTAAACAAAATGAACTTAAGATCGATAGATTCTAAACAGTAAAGAGAATCAAATAACAAGAACAATGATCAAAGATGTGTCGAATGCTTAATATTATCAAAGCTTTAGAAGAGTTCAACGTGAACTTTTCTGTAAAAGCTAAGTGGGCAATACAATCGATTAACCCTAGAACGATACATGCATGCACATTAAATAGTCTAACCCTAGCTACATAATGACGGATGGACAGGCCCAACCCGTTAACAAAAGACCAATTAAGTACATAACAATTTGACACAACACATTAAATAACCCAACAAGCAATAAAGGGGATAAGGCTTATCCAAGTAAACTGCCTTATCCTAGCATCCCTCGTCACCTATATAAACCCTCATAAGGGTTATGATTTTTAGCCATCCATTCTACAAGAGTTAGAACCGAAAATGTCTTCCCCTCTTTTCTCTCATCTTTAGCCTCCCAATTTGCTAGGGTTTGGGTATGAGCCATTAGAGACACGAGACTTCTGGTGCTTGCTTTCTGAAGACCAACAATGAATGATTACTAGTTTATTTGCAATAATAAACTAAGGTATGTATTTTCTAATAACCCTTCAGTAATTTCGAATATAGCAATGTACTTTTAGGGTTCATGATATTCAATAGTTGTTTGCAAATCATAGTAAGAACATAGATCATTTAGGGTGCATGTGAACTTAGAATTTATGTTTTTCTGCCAAAAATAGATTGTTTATAACATATAAAACCCATCAAAAGATTACACCACTTAAATTAGTTCTAAATGTAAATAAAATTTCAAAATATGACAATGGCACAATCCTAATCACAAATACATATAAATTGTTCAAATAACATTAAAAATGTTTAATTTCGAAGTGATTTTGGAAAGTGGCTAGTATTGTCGGTGCTAAGAAAAAGGATGAGAACTAGGATTGCATTTCTTTAAACATAAATAATAATACAACATTATAATTTATAAATCAATACTTTGATTAATACATGATAATATTCAAATAATTATTAAATTAAATATATATATTAAAGTTAAATGGGTTGGTGAGTTGAAAATGGATTAATGATTTTTACCAAACCAAACTTATTTAATTAAATGGATTAAGCGCGTTGACTCATTTAATTTAAATGAGTTGAAAATCTCAATCCAACCCGCTAATTTTGGGTGGGTTCGAGTTTGGTTGATTTTTGTCGGCTCTAATTTAAGCAGCAACTTGGGGTTCAGACCGTTCAACACATTAAATTGTTTCCAAATGGAAAGATATGCAACAAAAAATGAAAAAGTTTAATATTATTTTCACTCTCAAGATAAATACCGTGAGGCCGGAGCTTTCGACAAAGAAGTTTTAAAAGCAACAAAAATTGAGTATTACGAACACCATAGCATGAAAGATTTTCATTACGAGACGACTCGAAATATTTTAAAAACCCCCCTTCTTTATTTTTAGAATTTAAGTATTCTTTTAGTTTGTCGTTTGTAGTATTTTTAGTATTTATTTTCATTTTAATTGTTGTTTGGGATTTAATTTACGTTTTGTGTAGTATGCCTTTTAATTAAATGGATTTTTTAATATTATTTTATAAATTTTTGTTTTAAATTAGTAAAAAAACTTAAAATATATTATGTTTTATTTTATTTTACATTTTCTAATTTAATTAAATTTTCTAATTTAACTATCTCTACTGTAATATTAATATAATTATTGTGATTTAAATATATGATTGATCTGTTTTAGCACAATACATAATTATAAAAGATATTAAAATTTCATTGATTATTTCTGTTGTATTGCTTCTCGAAACGTACAAGTCGACAATTATATGTATAGTATACAGCGATGGGCTCACATGTGTCAACAAATAATTTTTAAAAACAGAAATACAACTCACGTATGATACAAGTGGACAATAATTGAAAGAGAGCAAAACAAAAAAATGTTTTTAACATTTTCTTTTATTAGAATATAAATTACTAATTAAATCATATAAATTTTAAGCCATCTCTAATAAGTCCTCCTACGCTCGACCACCTTTGATTTATTCAAAAAAAGCTATAATTATACCATATTACAATAAATTCAATTATATAATAATAATAATAATAATAAGTTATTATCAATTTATGTCACAAAAACAAAAAGAAGTGCAATAAATAGGGTATGTAATGATTATGATCATATATTATATATATATATATTATATATATATATATATATATATATATATATATATATATATATATTATATATATATATATATATATATATATATATATATATCTATATATATGGAAGAATGACAAGTCGACCAAATGGTGTATTGCTTTCCTTGTTATTCCAAATCAAATGAGAACAAAGTTTCTTTTTAACCCCAAAGGTTATTAGACTATACACATGAGTTCCCTGTTTTTTTCTTTAATGAAATTTTCACATATTATGTTTCCAAATCTCCCATGAACTTATTTTGATAATTCGTTTATTTGTTTTCATTGTCACAAATAATTATTTATATAGATTTGTGATCAAACTTCACATTTATATTAATTGTTTAACCTTTGTCATTCGTATCATTTTCCCTTTATTATTCATATCATTTCATTCATTCTCAAATTGATAACAAGTCTTAAATTTATGAGATTTGTTTATATGTTTTACTTTTTAATCAGAGTGACATGAGGTGAAGAGTATGTCATTATGAAATAATATAATATTTTTGTGTTGATATGGTCTCAACAGAAAATGGACCCAAAAATAGAACATTATTAAGAATTTCTTGAACTCTTCAAGAAGTCATTGTAACAACCCATTTTCTTAAGAATTTCTAGAACTCTTTAAGTTATACGAAGTCAATGAAAGCTAACTGCAAAGACTGAATTTGTTTTCATTGTTTACAAGATAAAACTATTTTATTATAATAATGCTTAATAGTCTAAAAGACTGAATTTGTTTGTTTTTATTACATTATTAGTTCACTAGTTGTGAGTAGTGCAATACAATGTAAAAAAATGTTAGAAGAATTATATAAGAAAAATTGAGAAAGAAAAATTGATCCAACTCCTCATTAAAACAAAATTCATAATTTATATTTAAACAAAATAGAAATTACAACCATCTTTGTCATACATTTTATACATATTTAAAATATGATAAGATATACAACCATGTAAAAAAATGTTAGAAGAATTATATAAGACATATTGTGCACATGTACAATAATAAATAGTTGATTTTACATATTCACAACATAAAACTTTTTGACACTACGTTTGGTGGGCAACCCCATAATGATTATATTTTTTTGAGGGGCTATACTAATATTTTTGTATTACTTCATGATACCCCTCACATTTGTACTTTTGAGTATATAAACGCATCTCACAACCAAAACATGTCTTAGTAAATTTAATCATGAATGCAAGTAAATATAATTACAATATAATTTTAAAGTTTAAAGTCTATATGGTACCTCGTTAAAATGCAAATTCATTTTCCTTTTAAATCTTGATTTCTTTCTTGATTCTATACAAAATCTCATGTCTTTTTCTCGTCAAGAATAATAACATTGCTTTCAATTACGATTATGCAAAATGGTTGCCGAGATAGAAGGAAAAATCATACATTTACTAATCGCATTTAATATTTTTTGTGATTTTTCCTACTGAATTTAGAAGTTTTCAAAACAATTATTAACGATTCATCATACATACTTTTATAGAAAGCAAACATTTTCTATAAGAAAGTAGTGAAGTGAAACTTCACTTAACGTTGAGGGTCTAAATTGAAAATAAGCTTATTTATACACTTCAAATTCGTGGATCTTTATAGGGCGTAGAACCTGAGAATTCACATGGCACTTTCGTAATTATTTCCATCGTTAAGGGCATTTCTCAAATGCCCTCCCGCCGGCGTTCTAAAACAGAACCCCACCCACCCGGACTCCGGCCCCATTCCTCCCACCACACACACACACACAGACTCTCTCTCTCTCTCTCTCTCTCTCTCTCTCTCTCTCTCTCTCTCTTAAGAATAACTGAAGTCAATTCCAAGTTTTCAACACGTAAGAATATTCGGTTACGATAATCTTAGAGGTTTAAAAGAGGAACATATTCGAGTCTTGTCTTGATTGTGTTAGCTCGTGTGTCGCCTGAGTGAGAGAGAGAGAGAAATAGAGAATCAATAATGGAATCGCCGGGACCGGAGACGGTGGTGGCTAAAGTAGCCGTAAGGTCATCTGTGATAGAGTCGATCAAAGGGTGGTCGTCGTTATCTGGGGTTCGGATTCGTAAAGATGAGCTGAGGCAGAAGATTACGATGCCGGAATATTTACGCCTCGCTATCAAAGATGCCATTGCATCAAAAGACATCGACGCCGGAAAACCTCATTACGAACTCATTTCCACCGGTCACGACAAACCGCCGCAAGTCGCCCCTGAATCGCCGCTGATTGTTTTCATTAATTCCAAGAGCGGTGGACGCTATGGCCCGGAACTTATGGCTAGGTTGCAGGATTTAATGGGGGAAGAACAGGTAAAGTCTAATTTACTCCATTAATCAGTTTAAAAACCCGTAAAATTCTCTTGATTTCATTAATTTATCAGCAACCTTCCATTTTAAATCTTATCTTCTGTTCTTGCATATCTGGTCAGAGTCAAGTGTCATGAAAATCGACGATTTTTATGGTTTTAAAGTCGAATTACATCATCGATGCTGATCTTTCTCAACTTTTTTAATCATAAACTAAAACCAATTTTGATTATGCTCTTGAAATTTCTATACTTGATACCAATTCGAAACCCGATCAAAAATTCAAACCCCTTCTTTGTTTAAATCCTTTCTTGTAAACCATGATTATAACCCATATATAAACACCAAAAGATTCAAAGTTCTTTCACTTCCTTTTACAATGATTTCGCTTTTGATTTTTAGGTTATTGACCTTCTGAGTGTAAAGCCTCATGAGTTTATTCAATATGGTTTGGGTTGTCTCGAGAAGCTTGCTAGTATTGGTGATGGGTGTGCTAAAGAAACCCGTGAAAGATTAAGAATTGTGGTAAGTATACAGTATTCGTATATAGATTATTTTTACTTTTTTACTTTTAGCTTTATTACTTGTATTTGTTTTTTATTTTTTACTTTAGTAAGACACTACTCATTATTTTTCACTGTGGGCTGACGTATTTATAGTTTTATACCATGCCAATTGCCACCTCACTAAAAAGACATGCTCTTTAAAATTAAATTTCAACGTACAATGTTACTATATATACAAAGTTTATATAATTTTATGATAAAAATTTAAGGTTAATAAATTGTTTAATGATAGGTTGCGGGTGGTGATGGAACGGTAGGATGGGTTCTTGGGTGCCTAGGAGAGCTTCATAAAGCCGGGCGGGACCCGGTTCCACCAACCGCAATTGTCCCTCTTGGCACTGGAAATGATTTGTCAAGAAGTTTTGGTTGGGTAATCTTTCTAATTTTACTTTTTTTTTTAATAAATAAAATAAAGTTAAAGTTCTTGAAATGTTTTTTAAACTTAATTTCAGGGTGGATCATTTCCTTTCAATTGGAAAGCAGCTATAAAAAAGACTCTTGATAAGTCTATTCGTGCTCCAACTAGTCGCCTCGATAGGTGAGACTCAAATTTCTTGACCTTTTTATAAAATTAGTCAACTACTTGATTACATTTACAATTTTCAACTCGTTACATTATTATAATTTATAAGTATGTGTGAATGAAAAGTGAAAAGTGTTAATTGTGTATTCTTTTATGAAATATAGTTGGAATCTTGTAATATCAATGCCAAATGGCACAGATTTGGATGCACCTTATTCCTTAAAACGAACAGAAGAAGTTGTTCTTGATCAGGTTAGGATTGTAGACAATCTGTTAAAAAATGACTTCATATGTTAAGAGCCTATATTTTTATTAAATTCTATATGTGCTTTCACATCTTTATAATTAAAATTTTTAGGATCTAAAAGTTGATGGACCATTGCCTGAAAAAGTTTCTTGCTACCAAGGAGTTTTTTATAATTACTTCAGCATAGGTATGGTATTATATTTTCTTAATTAAAACATAGTTTTATAATTTTAATTTTGAGTTTTGATTATAGGAATGGATGCACAAGTGGCTTATGGGTTTCATCATCTAAGAAATGAGAAACCTTATCTTGCACAAGGTCCTATTTCAAACAAGGTCTAAACTTTACTATGTTTCTTAAAAAATGTCATGCATTATATTCCTATATCTTCTTTATTAATTTATAAACTTTTCTTCTGTTTCAGATAATTTACTCGAGTTATAGTTGCAAACAAGGGTGGTTTTTTACACCTTGTATAGCTGATCCAAGTTTGAGGTAAGAATTTCTCATATTTCAATATCCTGTTATAAGTTGTGAAATGCGTTAGGGTTAAAATTAAAAGATTTTAATTTGTTATATGTAATTCTTAATAATGTAAGGGGACTAAATAACATCTTGAGGCTGCATGTTAAAAGGCTCAACAGCACAACATGGGAACCTATTGCTATTCCATCAAGGTAACGTTATTTTATTTTGTTTCATTATTAAATTTTTTTTGTCAAATGTCTAAAGTGCCCTTTTTTTTTTCAGTGTTAGGTCAATAGTCGCTTTGAATCTTCATAGTTATGCAAGTGGAAGGAATCCATGGGGTAACTTGAAGCCTGACTATTTACAAAAGGTAAGATTTTCTTTATAGAATTTACAATTGATTACCATAAAAACCAATAAATTTACTATTATTAATTATCCATTTACAGAAAGGTTTTGTTGAGGCTAAAGCAGATGATGGTCTTCTAGAAGTTTTTGGCTTTAAACATGGATGGCATGCATCATTTGTTATGGCCGATCTAATCTCAGCCAAACACATTGCACAGGTATTTAGCTTTACAAAAGGGCAAAAAAGTAAATTTACAATGTATGTCATACTCATTCTTTATGTTTCTCAGGCTTCAGAGATTCGGTTTGAGTTGAGAGGTGGAGCTTGGAAAGAAGCTTTCATGCAGATGGATGGAGAACCATGGAAGCAACTGATGAACAATGAGTTCTCAACTTTCTTGGACATCAAAAGGGTACCTTTTCAGTCAGTCATGATCAAAGGATAGTGATACAAACCATTTGAGCTCATAGGATTGGGAACTTAGTGGTGTTAAATACTTGTTTTTATAAATGTGTTAGTTGTATTACTTGTAAAAAACTTCAAATTGCATATTCTTATTTGAGATTATGCAATGATGTAACCCATTAGTTTGGTTTGGTTGGTAATTTATTGTAAATCATAGTGGTTTGTTGTTATCATTCTCTTCGAGTTTTCGGTTCTAACTTGTGATTATATATATATATATATATATATATATATATATATATATATTTTGTGGATGTAAGAATTAATGTGGACCAATCATTTTAAATACTAAAATTAAATAATTAATTGAATATATAGGGGTTGAATAGTAAGTTTAGCTATTAGTTAGTTATGTTAACTACTTAAATCAAATATAAATGCAAATATCATCCCTTTATTTAAGGCAAATTTGTTAGTTATCCACATTAAAATACCACCATTGTTTCAACATGAGAAGGGAAAGGGGCATGTTATTCATTCTGATTAAAGGAATCAATCACCATGATCATTTTCTTCTATACGTCTCCGCTAGATCACCATCACCTTCTCGACCAATCCAACACCATCAACATCATTACCTTAACGATAACATTGAGGGTTTAGATTTTATCACAAACAATAATGAGGCCATGATTTTCTCTTTCCATCTCTATTTGCATATCGATTAACCAAATGAAGATAATGATACTGATATGTATCTCTCTTGTGTGTATGTGAGGTACAATCTATTTCCCATCATTTCCGGTTTCCACCTAATTCGAACCTAGGTTTTCTCTATTTGTGTGTGTTTCACGGAGGTTTATTAATTTTCAGCTTGTGTTAGTCTTATGCACTAGAATTTAGGTGAGACAAAATTCTTTGCCTCTTTGATTTTTTTTATAAGTATTTGTATATGTTGAACAACAAGTGCTATATGAAATGCCTAAGTGAACCTCTTAAGTAATTTGTTTAAGAAAGGTAAGAATTTAACATGGTGATTTGTATATGATTAACATAATCCAATTTCTAGAATATATAAAGCTATGTATTTTTTTTTGTGTATTTTGTCAGAATATCTTTGTATAAACATATTACGTCGAAATATCTTTGTATATATATAAATGCATTCTTTAGTTCTAATCTTTTAATTACAAGCAAATTGGTTCACTTACTCAAGATTCTTAAAGAAGTTTAGGTAATGCGCAATTTTTCTATGGTTGGAATCAAGTGATCTTGTAAAAATGAATTCTCTTAAGTGTATTTTGGATTCAAAAGAAGATCAAACACGTTTTATATTCTAGTAGAAGATCAAGGGCATTATGATAGAGAATGTATCACATCTTCATACAAATTTGTCAGTATTTTCTCATCTTCGATTTCGTCTATTAGATATGAAGTAATGAAATCTTTACTCCCAAACTCAATAGGCTTAAAATGCAACTTTCCTTTCTATAGTAGGTTGAACAAGATTGATGAAATACGTATGAATAAGAAGTTGTCGTATGTTAGTTCACTTTAGGTATCGTTCTGGACTGGACAGAACAGAACAAGTTTTTTTTTAATAGTGTTTGGCGTTGATTGGTATGGGACAAGATGGGACAATGACCAAGTCAAATGGGACTAAAAGATAAAATTTTTGTCCCACCCAAAAAGGTAGAACACACATGGACAAAGAGAACAATGACTAAAAGGCCCTCAATTAACCTCTACCACGTACCAGTCACACCATCCCCTTTCATCTACATTTCACGTACTGTGACATCTCTTCTTCCGCTTGATAATAAAATTTAACAAAATACAGTATGTTTATTATAATTAAACAAATTAATGTGTTTATTAGAAAATGCACAATTCAAAGAATTAAAATTATTACGTATCAGCGATAGTGATTCATCAAGTTCTAGAGCACCCGTAAGTGGTGAAGCACATCATTATTATATTTAAAAATATCACATGCTACAGCGACACAGATTCCTACATACATGGATTGGGAATAAAGATGTCATATTTCTTTTCACCAACAAAGCTACCAAAATCAACTATAGTTTTTTTATTGAGCACCGTCGATACGTCGTTCTACCTCCTCCATCGTTCGACAATATAATTACTTAATTACTATGATTCGATGGCCAATGAGACTGCCAGCGGGTATTGAGATTTTTCATTATTGAATTAAATTTGACGTAGTATTGAATATTCTTCATAATTGAATCTCACATTCGTTGGATAACGATTTAGGGTTTATATTCATACTTAATTATTAAGTTAGATTGGTTGTATTTTATTAATTGATATCAAGGACAATCTAGTAATTTTGACATTTTGTTTTGTTCTGTTCTATGTTTACCAAACGCTATAAAAAAGTTTGTACAGTTCAGTTCAGTCCAATCCAGTTCAGTTATGTTCTGTCTAATCTAGTCCCACATACCAAACGCTGCCTTTTTGTCGAACTTTGATTTTTCATATTTCACTAAGTTCTTTTTAATTTGTTTTATTTGGGAGGTTTGGGGTTTTGGTTTGTGGATAGACGATGAGGAATATGAAACCATAAAAGGATTGTTGTTACAGATTTCTTAAGAGTGATTTTGTTATGAGTGTAGAAATTCTATGATGTAGTGTTTTTATATTATAAAGATACAGTTATTGTCACTGTAGTCCAACAATGTTTAATATAAGGATTGTTGTTACAGATTTCTTAAGAGTGATTTTGTTATGAGTGTAGAAATTCTATGATGTAGTGTTTTTATATTATAAAGATACAGTTATTGTCACTGTAGTCCAACAATGTTTAATATATTGGTTTAAATGGTCCATCGTGCTTTTTTTATTTTGCCTTTGAATGGTACGAACTTGTATTTTACTGGTTAATTTGGTACCTTTACTTATTTTTGAAGGTTACAGTGTCTTGTCAACTGCCAACTAGGCAAGTGAGTCAACAATGGTGAGTCGACTCATCGTTGCCACGTAAGCCAAAACCTAATTGTCACGAAGATAGAACTAATCTATCAGTTTACATTGGGATGTGAGGGCTTACGAACAGTAACAATGGAGCTTTTTTTCGACATTAACGCCATCTACTTCTCCTACGTTGTAATTCCAAAACCAGAATCCTAGAAAGTGTAGGTGAGATTTCTTGATGTGGTGGTGGGTGTAAACAAAGAAAAGGGGGTGGCGGTGGTGATTGGATTTTCCCGTGTGATGGTGGCAGGAAAGATGATGAAGTTGGTGATGTGTGTTTGTGTGGGTTACCAAGTGTGTTTGTGTGGTATCTAGTAGCAGCAAAAACCACCATTGATTCACAACCTCCAAAAATCATAGCACCACCACCCCTTATTTGGGTACACATAAATCGATGGGTTTTTGGCGATCATCTTCAACTTCATGAGATATGGGTTTTGATGATGATTACGATGGAGACAAAGATGAAACAGTCTTAGACGATAAGAAGATTAGAGATGTTAATCAGGTGGTACTTTGGTCATCTTCATCGCCTTCATCGACATCCAGTTCCTCCGGAAGAAAAGATTACTTTAGGATTTTAGAAACCGATTTCAAGAAAACAATTTTATTTTCAAATTGATTTCAAGCAAACATCTTAGAAAAACGATTTCAGAAACTGATTTAAGCAAACATTTTGATTTAGAAAATCGATTTCATATGCCGATTTAAAACCAACATGTTGATTCTAGAAACCGATTTCAAGAAACATTTCGACTTAGAAAACCGATTTTAGATACCGATTTCAAGCAAACATTTCGATTTTATAAACGAGTTTGGTCCTAACAGACAAAATTACTCATCATGATGGTTGGTGAACCCTTGAAGACGAAGATGGCGATGGTTAGTGAAAGAAAGGGGTGGTGAAATCGATTGGGGTTCGATTTCATCGAGGTAACATCAATTTCATATTTACAAGTCTTCATCTTCATTAGTTTCTCTCTCTAGATCTATTTAACAACTATTAAACAAGGGATGAACTTGGTTTTAACCAAAAGATCAATATGGATTTTTGTTTGAACAAAAACCAATGACGGGTTTTCCTAACCCTGAAAAAAGAAGGAATGCATCCCATCCACACTAAGCCTTCAATCGATCTTCACCATACCGGACTCTATGCTTGGTGTTCGATTCTATCGGGGTCAACATCAGGCCACCGCCGGAGCCGAAGAAGACAGCGGCGGAGCCGGAGAAGACAACATCGAAGCAGGTGAAGATGAAAGACGGTAAGGGATTTGATCGGATTCGGGTTCTAAAGAAAGCATTATATTAGGTGTTACACGTGGCAATTGAGCTGGCATCTAAACCTGCTGATTAGGATGGGTGTCACCGAATGACCCCTTCAAATTTTCCAAAAGGATCTTTTAAAACCTAAAAATACAAGTTCATGCCCTTCAAATGCAAAAAATAGTCACAATTGACCATTTAAACCAATATACTAAAGTTTGTTGAGCTACAATGACAATAACCCTATAAAGATATTGAAATGTGTAAAGATAGGCCTTACAATTCTTGACACGATCCGCGACACGACACAAAATAAACGAGTTTGGGTTGAGTTTTTCAACCCGTGAACCCTCAAACCCGTCAACCCGTTTATTAAACCGATCACATATGGGTTTCCCAAAAAATATACGGGTTGACCCGCGAACCCGTTTAGAATTTTAATATAAAAAGTTATATATTTTTTAAATGTATTAAGAATTATATACTATACAGTATATACTTTATACTTTATACTATGATATGATATCCGATACCATTAACCATTTGACATTTGGTGTTTGCCCTAAATAATCTCAATATCTCACAAACAAAATCGAATAAGCCCTCTCTCGCTCTCTCCTCTGTGATGAACAACAGAACGAACTCACGAAGAACGACGACATGAATGATTGAATCATTATCGAACGACGTTGACACCTGAACGAGAACGATGAACTCACAACCCAGTAGGCAATTGATTTGCTACGATCCAACGCACGGACAAACGAACCTAAATCTAACCAACGAACCCGTCAACCTGTGAACCCGTATAAATAAGTGGTTTGACGAGTCATATATGGGTTTATGTTCCAAACCCGTCAACCCATGACCTGTATAATTAAACGAGTCGTGTTTGGATTGATATATTTTAACTTACAAACCCGCCAATCCGCGACCCGCCAACCCGAACACAACACGATTGCCAGACCTATGTGAAGATATTAATGAATCTACTCTAATAAATGAAGGTTTTTTTTGCCACATGTCACACTCTCATTCAATTTGTCAAATGTCATTTTGTGCTTATTTTTGAATTAATTTCTTTTCCACATGTCATTTTATAAGTTTTTCTATTTTAATAAATTTCATATAATACTTTAATGTAATAATCACAGTAAATATAGTAATAAATAGATATCAATTTCATTAATGGACTTATATTCTTATTTCAAAATTCTCAAATTAAAGCTCATTAGTTTATTTTGTTTATTTATTTAAATTTAAAAAGATAAAAAAAAATCAATTTTAATAATTCATTATTTTTCTTATCTTTTTTTATAAATCCAAAATTCTTAAATATTTAGACATTTATATTTAATTTTTTTAATTAACCAATGTAATACATGGGTCTTACACCTAGTATTTAATAGACGTCCCTTGTTAATAAATTACATATATCTATTCTCCTTAATCTTCGTTTAATTTCTTGTTTCTTTCAGCTTTCTTACCTTCAATACCTCTATTATCCTTTTTTATCTCCGACCTTCAATCGTTGTAGTTCATCAACACATGACTTCTCCGCCTCATCTGACACCTCTAGTTCAACCGCCTCATCTCCTATCGCCTTTGGCAATTCACCGCCTTTCTTTGGATCACAAGCAAAAAGAGGATCAACCTTGGATGTGATTCCAGCAAGTGGATCATTGATGCAATCTCCTTCCAATTCATCATCAGAGTGGTGGAACATATGTGAGCTGACAGTTGTTGCAGCCTTCAGGAAGGCTTCCCGTATGGAGTCTGGGGGAAGTGCACAATCCTCAAGACCCGCATCTTCAAGTCGTGGGGGCTTGACTTTATCCAACAAGCTACCGGATTTTGCTTCTCTAGTGGCTTCCATTTGTGAGTTTTTGGAAGTTGAAATCCTAGCAAATAGAAGCCATAGTGATCAACATTACAAGTCTATATAAAAAGTGGTTCAAAACATACATTAGAAATATTTCACAAGGGCAAAACGAAATAGGTAACATTTCATCGTGTTGCTTAGAAAAAATATTTTTAATACTATTCTTTAATTTAATAATAATAATAATAATAATAATAATAATAATAACAACAACAAGAATATATATTTAATAAGAATATTAAAAAAAGTTAACAAGAAAAAAAATTAAAAAAATAATTATATTTTGAGAATGGTGTTGGGCTGGGGTGAGGTGTGTCCGGATCGATTAAATAATTCTAAGAAAATAATACAAAATATCTACTCTAATAAATAAAAATCTTTTTGCCACATGTCACATTCTCATTCATTTTGTCACATGTAATTTTGTGGTAATTTTAAATTAATTTTTATTCCACATGTCATTTTATGGTTTTTCAGTTTATTAAATTCCACATAATATTAAATATAATAATAAATGCATATCAATTTCATTAATAAACTTTCCTTTTAATTTCAAAATTACCAAGTTAAAGTTTTATTAATTTCTTTTATTTATTTATCTAAATCATTTCTTTAAATTTAAAAGAGAAAAAAAAACATTTTAATTTTTATAATTCAATATTTTTTTTTCATTTTTCTTATAAATCCAAACTTCTAAAATGTTTAGAATTTTAAATTTAATTTTTATTTTAAATAAACCTGTGTAATACATGGGTTTCACACCTAGTTTTGAGAAAATAAATGAAAAAAACATAGACAGTGACAACGTGTGTGTGTGTGTGTATATATATATATATATATATATATATATATATATATATATATATATATATATATACACACACACACAACCACCATGTCGCTACTAGGGATGAGATTTAGAACCGAAAAACCGGACCGGAACCGGAATCGAACCGGAACCGGAACCGTTTGAACCGAAATATATAGAACCGGTTCCGGTTTCGGGTTTAAAAATTGGCTTTATCCGGGTTCCGGGTAATCCGGGTTTGGGTCCATCGGGGTCCGGGTAAACCGAGTTTAAAAACCGGAACCGGTTTTAGGAACCGGAACCACTTTTAGGGTCAGAACCGGTTTTTGTGAAACGTTTAAAAGATGCATATCTCATTCGTTTCAACTTCGATTAACATGCGGTTTTTTCCAACGTGTAGTTTAGAGTTTGTACATGATTTTAGACTATAAATTTGCCATTTTTAGTTTTATATTCATTGACTTACAGTCCCCCAAAGTCGAGGTACAAAGCTGAAAGTTTTTAGTTTTTCAGTTTTTTTGTATTCTGTGAAAGTTTTAAAACATGCATATCTAATTCGTTTGAAGTCGGATTGACATGTGGTTTTTTCAAACTTGTAGTTTACAGTTTGTACATGATTTTAGGCTATAATTTTATCATTTTTGGTTTAATATTCAATGATTTACAGTCCCCCGAAGTCGGGATATCAAAACTGAAAATTTTCAACTTTTCAGCTATTTGTTTTGTACTTTGTATTCTGTGAAAATGTTAACACATGCATATCTCATTCATTTAAAGTTAGATTGACATGCGGTTTTTTCCAAAGTGTAGTTTAGAGTTTGTACATGATTTTATACTATATTTTTGTCAATTTTGGTTTCATATTAATGAGTTACAATCCCCCAAAGTCGGGATATCAATATGAAAATTTTCAAAGTTCAACCCATTAAATAGTAAGTAATTACGAAAAAATTCCGGTTTTTCCGGGTCTTCCGGTTCTAAACCCACTTTATCCGGTTCCAACTTACCCACTTTGATGTTTCCGGGTTTTTCGGTTTTAGACCCACTTTACCCGGTACCGTACCCGGAACCAAACCGGAACCGGTTCCTATATACCGGTCCGGTTTCCGGTTCTACAAAATCCCGTTAACCGGTTTCGGGTTTTCCGAGTCCGGGTCCATCCGGTCCGGGTTTGGACCCACTTTCATCCCTAGGCGCCACCACTACCACCCAACAACCACCGCCACCACCACCCAGCTGCTGCCACCCCCGCCCCACCACTGCCATCACCCAACCCAAGTTTAGTTCAAAAATACGTTTACTAAACAAAGTCTTGAACTGCCATTGTTATTTTATTTCATTGTTGTTAAATTATAATTATTTAAATTTCCGTTTTGTCCACATCTTCTTCCTCGGACTGGTATTAGCTTAGGAAAAAAAACAAACACCAAAAAGTGGATCTTTGTTTGTAGATACACTCCAATAATACTTAACCACAAAAACATACGCTACGATTTGGAAAGGGCTGAAATAGTCTAATTTAAATCAAAAAGTAAATCAAACACAGTAAACATACTTAAATTGAACCTAACAATATAATTAATGGTAATGAAATCGGATCCGATAAAGTATTTACCGAAAAGAGATCGATCGTACCTCGGGAGGGCGGAGATCGAGTAGGAAGGACAGCAGCGTTAGAGAAGAAAAACCAAATGCCTTGTTAAGAAATGGCGAAGGAGTGGTTTGTGGAAAGATCTTTCGCATTTCGGCTTATTCTGGATATATAAAATATATACGGCCCATATAATAATAATCAGGCTTTGCTTTTATTGCCCTCAATGGCCCATTAAATTAAAATGTTACAAGATAATTAGTATATAAACATTTTGTTTGATTTAATTTTAATTTATATAATATATCTTATCATTTTTCTATTATCTAATGATTTTTTTATTTTAATTGTTCTATCTATTATAATTGTTAAGTCAGTTTATTTCTATAAAATTCGTTGGTTCATTGATATTGAAGGTCTTGTGTGAAAAATAAAACGGGTCACAAATATAATTTTTTGTATAAATGAAAATAAATAATATTGAATGTTCATTTGGATGGATCGGTTTAATCCAATCTGGTCAAGTGAATCAAAATTGATTTCGGTTTTCATAAAGAAAATATTTTTGATAAGAAATACATATTAAGATATCATATTTGATGAAATTTTTTAATCTAACAAAAATATTTTTGTAAATTTATAAAGGATTATATATATATATATTTGGTCAAATGCTGAATTTTAAGAGGTACAAACCTTACTGCATTATGTACACTTATTTTATGCATTACAAAATCATGAATCTTAATTGGGTCAACATCTAAAAAGTCAAGATAATAACAGATAAGAATTGGCAGATGGTTTATTAGCGGGACTTTAAGTTTGAATTAGTATTCTTCACTTTCAGCCACTTGAATCGGTCAAAACTCACTTTCAACCACTTGAATAGGTGAAACACAACTATATTATCACATCTTCGAAGGTTGATTGGGCGGATGGAGGAGAAAGGCTAGGTCAAAGAGCAATAATTAGGGTACCTGAGATTGAAGAAGATTGATGCTATATAACATGGATTTATGTTGAATCCATGTATTTCTCCCTTCATCCGCCTTCCTAATGTGGAAAATGGGCCAATCGATTTCACTCAGTTCTAAAATTGGCACAGAGTGTTTGTAGGGTTTCAATAGTTGACACATTCATCTCCACGGTCACATGTAATGGTTCCTGTATCAACATTAGAAAACCCTTCTTCTCCACCATTTGCCTCATTAACCGGCCTCCTCCGCCAGTATATCCTGAAATCCCTACCTCGAACTGGTGCTTCCTTCTCCTTTCAACCCCACCACCATTGTACCACCAGTGATCCATCGACCATCTGAAAACCCTAGAGACCACTATCTCTAACACCACTCAACCCTCTCTGAAAAACCTAGACACGACATTTATGTCATATCCTCTAACTAGCTCCCACCTTCTTCTCTCTAAACTCCCTAACCCTAAATCAGATTTGGCAGTTTTAGGGTTCGATGTGAAGCTCAACCTCCTTTATTGTCTACATCTCTGCCATCCCGACGAAGAACATATCAAAAGACACCCAAGAATTTTTTTCTCCGCCCCTTGTGCCCTAATACCATTCGACACCCATACATGACACATGCTCTCTGGTTCAAAACTCCAGCCACTTCAGCGTGTTCCTCCACCACTCCATGGAATTCCTCTGCTAGAGCCACCAATTCATCGCCTTCCTCCGCCAGCAGCGCCGCCCGGTAAGCTTCTCTTATCTATCATTGAAATCGTTTTCTTTCTTCTCTAAAATCGATATGCTTGCTTCTCTTCTCCATTTCTTAAATAGATTTGTTATTTGAAATTGATTTGTTAAGTGATTTCTTCTATAAAATCGATTTTGAATCTAATTTTCAACACAAAGGTCCACTACTGAATCTTATTTCTCAACATATGCTCAATTTTGTTCTTATTTTTTTGGTTTATTTTGCAACAGAAGCATGTCTGAATCTGACTTTTGAGTTGGAATCCCTGGTAAGTCTGATTTTTTTGGTTTATTTTGTGGTGTTTCTTTCTCATTTGGTCATATTTTAAATTGGAATCCCAGGTAAGTCCAATATTTGAACTTTAAGGTATTGTGATTGAATCTTATTTATTCTATTTGCATCTTTTTCATTCAGTTTTGGTTCAAGTTAACAAGATTATACTTTGTATTGTTTGCAAACGTGCAGGTTTACCGTATGCCTATAATATGATGCAATTCAGGTCCCATTAGCTTTATATATTGCTAAAAAATGTTTCTACTAATGGTGGATTGTGCTTATATTCCTTTAACTTTAAGTCTGTATGTCATTTGGATGCAGGGCCTGTGATAAGTGTCTTAATAAAACAAGGAAATTATTCTCTTTATGACCATCCTAACATTTTAGATGGATATGTAATTCACATTGTCAATTCAACCTCAAGTTTTTCCTAAAAACAAGGAAAGTTTTTTCCTCATCGTCTGTGTGTATTTATGTATATTTGTATGTGTTTGTGTGTATCTGTGGGTAGTTGAATATCTATGTGGGTAGCTGAATATCTAGCACAAATGTTTTGCTAGATTTTTTCTAGATCTAAACCTTTTCTTAAATATTTCTTGAAAATAAGATT